ATCTTCAATGATGTTCCATTGATCTATGTGTCTGTTTTTGCGCCAGCACCATGCTGTTTTTATGACTATGGCTCTGTAATATACTTTGAGATCTGGTATAGTAATCCCCCCAGCATTGCTCTTTGTGCTCAGGGTTGCTTTGGCTATTTGGGATCTTTTGTGCCTCCATATGAATTTAAGGATGCATTTTTCTAATTCTGTGAAGTACCAGCACCTCTTTGAAAGTGCTTTAATTTATTTTTATTTTATGTGTATGAATGTTTTGCCTGCATGTACGTTAAGTATACCCATGCATACAATGCCCATGGAGGCCAGAAGAGGGTGTAGGATCCCCCTGAAACTGGAGTTACAGATGGTTGGGAGCCACTACATAGGTGCTGGGAACCCAACCCTGGTCCTCTGCAGGAGCAGCCAGTACTCTTAACCACTGAGCTATCTCTCCAGTACTTAAAAGTGCTTTAAACAGCCATTTGTATTTTAATTGTTGAATGTGGATTGCAAATCTTCAATCTGAGTCTTCAATTTTGAAGTCATCAACTATCTCTTCTTTCTGAAGGATTTTGAGCTTTGGGAAAGGCTTTGTTTTTTGATGACACTGAATTTTTAGTAGATTCAGTGTAATTCAGATAAACATGAACATTTCTCAAGTGTGTACAAAGTCACCAGGCTGCAGGCTGTGATATGTGTGATCATGTAGGTGATCAGGGTGTTGACTGGTAATGTTGAAGAGCAGGCCCAGCCCCTGTATCCTGACCTCTGGTATAGCTGGCTGTCCATCACTCAGAACTGGCACAGGGCATGGTAGGGAGTCAGCACTATCAGAGGATGATCTTTTGGGTTCTGGGCAGTTGACGAGTCTTCTGTTACTAGGGCTGGTTTTGATGTGTCAATCACTTTTTGTTGCTGGTCTATTCCTTAATCTGAATAATCTGAATCGATGTCTTTGTGGTCTGCTACAAAATGCCTCTACTAGAAGCCATAAACTAGGCCAGGTCTCTTTCTCTTGGTATAGAAAATTCCAGGCTGTCCAAAAGTCACAGGACCCAACAGTACCTCAGATTTTCACTCCTTTGGAGGATAGTTCTTCAGTGTTTGTGGATCACTTGATAGTCCTCCAAAACACCTCCTGGAACACATTTGGGTGTGATCATGTCTCAGACTGTAGAGCATCTGCAAGCTGAACACCAACAGAGGACCAAGTGCCATGCAGTCCTCCTCCTTGAAGCTGCAATGTAGGATGTGCTCCAACTGCTCCAGGTTCTACAACGCCTTGTGGGCTGTGCCTGTTCCTGGGTGGCAGATGACAGCTTAGAGCTGGACAGACATGGTAAGGCAGGTTAAGTGGTGAGGTGGAGACCCTTCCATACATTAACCTTCTAAAACGTCTGGCCCTGGGAATACATAGGCTAAGATGCCAGTACAATAAACATTTATTTTTGTTTTGTTTGAGACAGGGCTTTGATATGTAGCAGAGGCTGGTCTGGAACTCACTATGCAGCTCAAGTTTATGGCTTCAACTTCCAATCCTTTTTGCCTCAAACTCCCAAGTGGTGGGACCACAATTTTCTTTATGTTTTCATTTGAGTCCTTTTTGTGTGTGATGGAATCTCACAGCCTCCAGAGCAGCTGGGACTACAAGTGTGTGCTACTACACCTGGCTCTCTGTATTTTTTATTGTCTATATAGCAATGTCTAAAAGAACCTTCTGTGTTGATAACATGTTTTATATCTAATATGGTAGCCACCAGTACCTATTGTTAGGAGTACTTGAAATGTAACTAAATTGAGGAATTGGATTTAAAGAAAAAAAAATTATATATATATGTATATGTATATGTATATGTATATGTATATATATAGTATGGGTCTAGAAAGACAGTTCAGTATTTAAATGCACTGACTGCTCTTGCAGAGAATCTAGGTTCTGTTCCCAGTACCCACATGACAGCTAACAATCACCCATAACTAGTTCCGAGGGATCTGATGCCCTCTTTTGGCCTCTGTGGGCATTACATGACATGGGTGTGTTCACATACATGCAGGCAAAACACTTATACAAATAGAAGTATAATAAAAATAAGAAGGGTGTGGTGGTGCATGCCTTCAATCCCAGCACTTAGGAAGCAGAGGCAAGAAGATCTCTGTGAGACTGAGGCCAGCCCAGTCTATAGTGAGTTCCAGGCCAGCTGGGGTTAGAGGGAGACCCTGTCTCAAAAAGACCACACACATGGGGCTAGAGAAATAGCTCAGAGGTTAAGAGCATTTGCTCCTCTTCCAGAGAATGTGGATTCAGTTCCCAGCACCCACATGGTGGCTCATAACCAACTACATGCATGTCCCACACATATATACACTTAGGGATATACATACACATTTATTAAAAAGGCCACATACACATACACACACACAAATCTAAACAATTTTAAGTTAATTTTTGAGACATTTCATATATGTATATAATGTATGTGTATACAATGTATTTTGATCACATCACCCTCATTTTCCCCTTATTCCTCCCAGATCCACATTACTCTCCCCCAACTTCATGTCCTCTTTTATTTTAATAGCCCACAATTTGTACTACCCACATACACATAGGTGTGGGGCCATCCACAGGGGCAGGCATGGTTGACTTAGCACAAGTCACACTCTTAAAGAAATCTGAGTCTTCCTCCTCTAGTAGCTATCAACTATTGCTCCTCAGCAAGGGGGAGGGAGAATTGAAATAATTTTTTAAGTTTTGAGACAAGTTGGCCCAAACTAGCTATGTAGTCAAGGATGACCTTGAACTTCTGATCCTCTTTACTCCACTTTCGGAGTGATAGGATTACAGGTGTGGTCCCCCATACCCAGTGTATGTGGTGCTAGGGATCCAACCTAGAGCTCTGTGCACAAAAGGCAAGTACTCTACCAACTGAACTACATCCTTAGCCTAGAACTAAAATTTTATTTTATGTGTATGAATGTGTGTAAGAGCACCCATGTCATGAAATGCTGGCAGAGGTCAGAAGAGGGCATCAGAGTTGCCGGCACTGGGGTTATGGATGGTTGTTAGCTGCCATGTAGGTGCTGGAACTGAACCCAGGTCTTCTGCAAGAGCAGCCAGTGCCCTTAACTGCTGAGCTATCTCTCCAGCCCTAGAACTAAATTTTTAACTCTACTTAATTTGAGCTAAATTTAAATAGTAACATGTGGCTAGTAGTTACTACACTAGACAATACAGTCTATAGTATCAAGTCAATGAGTCCAAAAGAAAAGGATTACTGAAAAACAAGAGTGAAACAAACATAAATGAAAATACTGATACCCTGCTCCACTCCCAGGCTGGCTCACAAATTCACAGCTGACAGTACTGCATGGCCTGAACACTGCTTTAGTTTGACTCTGCCATCAGATAATAACAGTTTAGATTCCTGGTAAAAGGAAGGATGACCTCTAAATCATAAATAATATGTAAGTATCCCAGGTCCTCCCTGGTGTAGTAGGAATAGCACTGGAGGCCCTGCTAATACCAGGGTAGAGACATCACAAGCCCTTGAGCTGAGTCTTTAGTGGTTCCCTGACTATAAATTATTTATGAAGCACCTAATCATGGATAGCTGTGCAAAAATGAACTGTGAAGGGTTCCCAACCTTTAAAGGGGCTGACAAATGAACTAACCTCATATCATGTAGGCACACTCCAATACAGCAAACTTTTAAAAGACAGACTACATGCACATGGCAACATAAATATACACTGTTCTGGGTTACTCACGCTGTAGTAGCATCTTGGAAATTTAACATTTCTTTCCAAGTATCTGCATTAAAACCTTGGTAAATTCCATTATTGTTTACCACCAGGAGTATGATTGGCAAGTTGTACCTGAAAGTGAGAACAAACTATGAAGGGAATTGTTCTTTCTAAAGCAGTATCTTTCCCTAGAACTGGAAATGTTACTTAAAAATAGATGTTTTCTATAAGATTCTTGAAATATCAGAGGAAAATAACAACAAAAAATCAAGCATTTATTACCCTAAGAATATTAAATAACTGACAGAAACCTCATGCAGTGGTAGTAAATCCAAGATTAGAGGGTGGAGGTCCTGCTTAGCTATGGACCTCAGGAAATCACTTAGCTTTTCCAGATGGTTACAAGACAACACCTTCCCTGCTTTATATTCTCTAAGGCACACTTCTATATGGTTCCTAGGAACACTGTTTGAAAAGTCCCACTCTAGGTACCGAATGCCTCAGACCATCAGGCCTTGCTCAGTACTGAGAGATACAAAGGGGACTAACATACTCAATCTGCATTCAAGCCACAGCACCTCTATCAGAAATAGCATGGTATAACCTGTACATAAAAAGAGCATCTACCACACCCAAACAGTAATAGCAAAGATGAAAAAACAAAAATGGCTGAAAAAGAATGTGGACTTATTTTCTCTATAGTTTCTGAGAGAAGGCAGAAAAAACAACTAAAGTGCATCCTGTTAAATAACAGGAATGTGGTAACTATTTGCTTTTTATGCTAAAAGGGCTTTATTATTCTCCAAAAGGCTAAATTCTCCATAAATCATCTTTTTGCCATTTGCCAGTCAATTGGTTGTCAATATAGATCTCTAATAGTCAATATTAGCTCCTCATACAGGGTCTCATGTAGCCCAGGTTGGCCTTAAACTTGCTATGCAGTTGAAGATGACCTTGGACTTCTGACCCTCCTGCCCAACTTCTACCTGTAATCTCAAGTGCTGGGATTATAGGAGTGTACTACCATGCCTGGCTTTCCCCTTGATCTTGAAAGTTTATGTAGAAACTTCCAAAACTTATTCACAAAAGCCCTAACAAGAGTCCTAAGAATAGAATGGTCTTTTACTGTAGTTTAAACACAGCTGGGGAGAAGTTTTCACACTTCTATGTAGGAGCCATGACTTGTGAGTTTCCACATGAATGTTTATAACTGTAAATGTAATCAGAATGGCCCATATGGACTGACAATCACCTTAAAGTCTGACTTAATTCACTTGGTCCTTACAACTATGCTCCCAAGTAGGAAATAATTCTGCTCCTAGTCTTTTTTTTAAGAGAAGACTAGGCTGGGGCTTAGTTAACTGGCTTAGGTGAACTACTTAGTTCTGATATGATGGAACCAATGTTTAAAATCTCATGCCACCTTTCTACAAGCTGTATAACCACCAGTCTCCTTTATCTTGCTGCAGCAAACAAGCTGTTCTCACGCCCAAACTTTAATTTTTTAATTTTTAAGCTTGGTTTTTATTCAGGTGTATCTGACTTTCTGCCACATGTGTGCAGGTCCCCAAGAAGGCCAGAAGAGAATGCTGGATCCCCTGGAGCTGGCATAATAGGTGGTTGTGAGCTGCCTGATGTTGGTGCTAGGAACTGAACTCAGGTCCTCTAGAAGAGCAGTAAGTGCTCTTAACCTCTGAATCATTTCTCCAGCCTCCAAACTTTTCTTCTTCAGTGACCTCAAAACTACTTCTCACAGTTCTGCAGGTTTTAGTACGTAATGAAGAGGCCATGAACAGTATCCTCAGGATATTATGCTGTGCCAGGACACCTGGCATAGGGTAGATGCTTGGTAGTTATCTGTCAGGAAAGTGGGTCTTATGTGTAACGTTTCACATTTATGAGAATGAAATGCTTTACCTGCAGATGGTTTCCACTTCCATGCCAGAAAACCCAAAGGCACTGTCCCCTTCTACACAGATGACCCGTTGCCCAGGGCTTTTATCTTTAGCCACCAGAGCAGCTGCAATAGCAAATCCCAAACCAACTCCCATTGTTCCAAAAGTACCAGCATCAAGTCTGTTGGGGAACAAAGCTAAAATCAGACTCTGGGGCATGTCAGAGGGTGAGGATCGCACAGATCATAGTCATATTTACATAGTTTATGGAAAAATAAGAAAATAGACATTTTTTTAAATATAAAATATTTAGAATATAAGAACTAACTTGCCAAGGATAAGCAGCATGAGAGGAAAAAGTCACTCATGACTGCTTGGATGACTGGATATTCTCAAAACACTGAGTATGCAAAGTATCACATTATAACAAGGACATCAAGCATAAAAACTATCAAACCTCACTTAAGAATATACTTAGGAGGTAGAGAGATGGCTCAGCAGTTAAGAACACTGGCTGTTCTTGCAGAAGACCCAGGTTT